TATACTTTAATATTAGTTTAACCGTAGAGTAATAAAGTTATAATAGAGTAAAACATATTTAAATTATATTTATCATGCATTTGAGTCCAGCTATTAAGTGAATGATATGGCTATTATATGACACTTAATTTATCAAGATATTTGTCGGTACGTAAACCTTTTCATAGACCCATGCAAATGATCTATTATTAAACTAAGAATAGAAAACATATAAAACCTTTTATGAAAGTACAGAACAATTTAATATAAATTATAATGTTTTTTATTTTTAAAGGATAAAATATTTTTGTTTTATAAAATATATATAAAACAATAATTATAATAATTAAAAATATTATAAAATGCCTTTTCTTATGAATATAAATGCAAACCAAATTGCAAATAGAAATATGAATAAAGTAATGGTAGAGAAGTGGAGGTATGGAGGTATGGGATGGCAATTAAAGGCTCATTCAGGCCCTGAACTCTTTAGTGTCACGAAAAATGCGGCCTTTCTTTGTAATTGTAATTCAAAAAAGTTTAGTTCACTTTTGGTTCACTTTTTTGTTTCTCTCTAATAATGGCTTAAATGCAAAGAAATAGCAATTGAATTTTTTTTCATAAACTTATTCTACACTTTAATAGTGGTATTAATATGAAAATCTGTGTACAGATAATGGCATATAATGTATAATATATTCTTAAGTTCACTTTAATTCTTGGAGGGGTTGGCAAACATAGGAATTGAGAACTGAATATAATTTAATAACAAGTTCTTGAATTTTGAATTACATTTGGATGACTGTAATTAACATTACAAACCATTGACTAAAAATTTGCATTTTATGCAACCAATCAAAGCCTCTAATTTAGGGCTGAATTTATTTCATAGGAGAATATAATTTAACATAAAGTTGTTTTGCAGGCAATAAACCATAAAAAGCCAGTTTATAAACATTAACATAGCTTTCATACGGCAAATGCAGCCCAACTCCCAACTGGCCTCCACTCCACTTATACACCACTATTGCCTACAACTGCCACAACTGCCAGAGTTGCCCATCATTTCCAGCACCACCTATGCGTTCGGCTATTCAATAGCCTATCCTATTATACCCGTAACCACTCATTCAGTGCATCCAAACATATTTTGATGGTATAAGCGATAAACTGTTGAACAAAACATTTTTGAGCATTTTTTGCTGAAAATAATTCGTTATTTCCTTTTTCACTAAAATAACAATTCGTGCGTTCATTAATTGAATTCTTAATTATGAAGATTTCCATTAAATATATTCAAATCATATTTATGTTTACGAATATATTATATATTATAGAGTTGATTGAATATAATTAAAAATTATATTGCATATCACATATAAAAACGATCTCTATAAATAATGACTTTTTTGAAATTATTATTTATAAACATTAATTTTATTTTGTTTTAAATTTGATATTTATTAATTTTTACAAACCAATAAATTTTACAGAAAAACCTAGAAACTTTTTTAATAATTAAAATATTATGAGTAATAAAGTAATTACTATCTTTTATAATATTGAAAATTGTAACTTATTTTATTTAATAATTTTAAATGAACAGATTTTAGAATAAAAATATATTTAAAATTATATATATAAGTACAGTATATGTCATTATGTGACGAATTTTTAGATAAAATGAAATTTTTAAATGTTTAAATAATATTTATTTTATCTGTTATACTAAAGAGTGCATTTTAAGATTATTAAAATATTTATTTAAGTTATAAGGTACTGTGCACAATTTGTTAGTAACAAGTAAGTAAAATACATTTTACAACATTTATTTGACAAAAAATGTATAAAAAAAGATATACATTTTCAAGAATTTTAATAAATATCAGTTAAAATTTTATTTAATTTTAGACTAACCCTGTAGGATAAATCTTAGTACACTATATACCATATTAAGTTAACGGTATTTTAATATTATACTTATATATGAACATCTAAATTATTATTAATTATAATTCAAATAAAAAACACGTTATTTATAAGTAATATTAATTTATTAATATAATTTTATTAAATTATATTGCTTTGTCAGTATCGGTTTACTTCAACAAATATCGGTTCATTTATATTATGTTAGTTAAAGTTATATTATTAAGTTAGCTTTATGTTAGTTAATCTCATACATTATATAAAAGTGATTTAAAACTTATAGAAAACCAAAAGTTTTATACTTTTATAATATATATAATATAAAATATATATTTATATTTATAGATATTATTTGTTTACTATGTGCTAATTTTTTAAAATTTTATTTATTTGATCAAATAAGGTATAATATATACTCTATAATACATTGTATACCATAAACAATTGATTTTAATTTTTAAACTACTTAAAAGAATTATAAAATAGTTATAATTTCATACAACTTATCCAAATGAAAGTTAAATTAGAATAAATGGCGTTCATATTTTAAACTTAATAAACAATCAAATATTCTAATATGACCTTGCTAATTGCTAGGGTATAGAGAAATCCCTATCCACGAGGTGTGCACTGGAATAGCCTTGATATGTTTATAATAGCAATGAAAGCGCAAACTCAGTCTTTTAATTGTATTTATTTTAATAATTTTGTCGATTAAAAGCGAATCAATTTGTTTGGTATCAATTAATGAGCAAGGTGATTGCAAGATGTTTATTAGAGCTATACTTTTGAACACAAGAAGTAAATTAAGTGTGAATGTGATCAACACTTATCATGGTATGAATTCTCATAGAAATTCTCCTATTGTTTCCATTTAACCACTTGTTAAGCATATATTGTTATATTATATTTAACTTTTTTAACTTTAATATATTTAACTTAATTACATATATATTATAACTTAATTATAACTATATTATATACAGTATATATATATTATTAAATAAAACAGAAATGGTAATATTTTTGATATTAAATTGTGAGAATATCATTAGTATTTTTAGAACCAAAATAACCATATACAATTTAATGTTAAATATTGCTNTGAGCAAGGTGATTGCAAGATGTTTATTAGAGCTATACTTTTGAACACAAGAAGTAAATTAAGTGTGAATGTGATCAACACTTATCATGGTATGAATTCTCATAGAAATTCTCCTATTGTTTCCATTTAACCACTTGTTAAGCATATATTGTTATATTATATTTAACTTTTTTAACTTTAATATATTTAACTTAATTACATATATATTATAACTTAATTATAACTATATTATATACAGTATATATATATTATTAAATAAAACAGAAATGGTAATATTTTTGATATTAAATTGTGAGAATATCATTAGTATTTTTAGAACCAAAATAACCATATACAATTTAATGTTAAATATTGCTAATTGAATATTATAAACAAATATGTACAGTAGTTCTGAACTAGTTTTATGATGTATTGTAAATTAATTTAAATAACAAAACTATTATTAATATAACTGAATACACTTAATAATGTAATATTATATGATTTAATTTCAATTTACTCAACAATTGGTTTAATACAACTTTTTATTAAAATAATAAACATAATATTAGAAAACAAATTAGACACTGCATATTGTTCAAATACAATATATGCTCAAATATTAATACTTATGGTTTAAAAGTTTACATTATTTAATAAATACTGTAGTTGTGTATTAAAAATATAATGTCAATACTTTGCATTTATTTATTTAAAACTAATTGCAATTATAGTCCGCAACAAAAGTCATGTCGGGTTTATTGGATTGGGAAATATGGGCTCAAATATGGCTCAGCATCTCATGAATAAAGGCCACCAATTAGTGGTTTACGATGTCTTTCCAGAAGCAATGACAGCGCTGGCAGATAAGGGCGCTCTCATAGCACAGTCACCGGCAGATTTGGCCCAAAGATGTGACCGAATCATATCAATGCTGCCGACGTGTTCTCACGTCAGACAAGTGTATTGTGGAGACAATGGAGTGTTGAGTGGAGTAAAGACGGGAACCCTTCTGATCGACTCGAGTACTATCGATCCCAACACTTCTCAAGAGGTGTGTCGCGCATCGCAAGCAAAGGGCGCCGTCTTTCTGGACGCACCCGTTTCGGGCGCAGTGCCGGCCGCCAGAGCGGCGACCCTTACGTTTATGGTTGGGGGCAATGCGGCAGAAGTGGAGGCCATTAAGGAGTTGTTGCTATGTATGGGTAAAAACGTGATACATTGCGGTGCTGTGGGATCGGGTGCTGCGGCCAAGATATGCAACAACATGATGCTGGCCATCGGAATGGTGGGCACGAGTGAGACACTCAATTTGGCCAAAAGACTTGGTCTCGACCCCAAACTCATGACTCAAATATTGAACGTCAGTTCTGGTCGTTCGTGGACTTCAGAGGTGTATAACCCGGTGCCGGGTATTGGAGAGAATCTTCCGGCGGGAAATGACTATAAGGGAGGGTTTATGACTCAACTCATAGCTAAGGATTTAGGTTTAGCGCAATCAGCGGCCACTCGAGTCAATGCTCCGACGCCTTTAGGAACTCTATCTCATCAGTTGTATCGGTTAATGAAGAACAACGGTTACGCCACTAAAGACTTCTCAAGTGTTTATAAGTTTATACAAGAATTAGAGGACAAAAAATAAATGATTACAACTCAAGGAAACGGAATCTTTTCAGACAAAACATTCCCTAAAAATGTTATATTTTGATAAAAACTGTTTTTTATACGGTATATACAGAGTATCTGTATTTTTATACAATTGTTAGAAATAAACCAGAATCTAAAAACTCACAATCACAATATGATAGTGCGGTAATTAATAAATTAATTTCGACTAAAAATGACTAATTATTATTAATTAATTACTTGATGTGATATACCAATGATTTTATAAAATACATGCAATGAATGGAAGTTTTAGATAAACTCAGTATTACTGATAGACTTTACATTATAATCACTTAAATTAAAGATCCGATTCATCCATAAAAGGTATTTCTTTATCTTCTTCTCTACTTTTAGTTGAATCAAGTTTGTCGTCCGTTTGGGACTTCATATCTTCGTTATTGCTCTCAACCTCTTCTGTGGTCTGCTCTTCTTCTTCTGCTTCATTGGAATCATCGCTTTTAGACACAACTTCAGTGTTAATGCTTTGATTGTCTGCTTCCGAATGAGTTGTAATTTCTTGTATTTGAGTCGTCTGTTCAACGGCTGATCTGCGGCCGCGCTCTGATTCGGTGTCGCTCTCGGGTTCGTCAATGACCGGCGCCAACGAAGAGATTGAAGACCTTTTATTGTGATCTGAGGTCTCAAGTGGTGGCGGCGCCGGTCGTGTCTTCCGCGCCGGATTGAATCGTTTGCAGTAACAGCAGATGTAAGCGATGTATTCAAACTCCTCTTTAAGAGCCATTCCGTTGTGTGAATAGCAGTGAATGCATATCAATGCATACCTGTTGTTGGGTCCGTCGCCCACCACATAGTCTACCAGTTTATCCATAACTGTCCGCTTGTGAGGCAAAATAGGTTTCACTGTCCGAATGGGTGGCGGCATCGGAACAGATGGCATCCTCTGCGGAGTCATTTGCGGACCTCTTATTAAGTTCTGCCTGAAAGCAGGGTTAGGTTGAGAGGAAAATGCAGGGCTCGACATAATGGCAGGTAATGGCCTCATAGGAGTACTGTTGACCCGATATCTGAGTTGAGAATCAGTGGACATTCTAAGAGGCGGCACATTACTGAGTAAAGGAGTGGAACTGGCGTTCAATGTTCTCAATGACACGCTGTCGAGGAGTGCTTTTGGGTCATATTTTTCGAGTATGTCTTTGGCGTCTTTGAAATTCTCCGTTTCCTTCACTTTCTCCAAAATCCTCTTCTTTTGTCGTTTCAATGCTTTTAGTCTGTCCTCTGAATTGTCTCCAATCCATCGGTAATATAATTGAAGTAAACGTTTAATACCAATAAAACTGCAAAACAAGCAAACAATTGAT